CTTGATTAACCTTTGTATGTGGCGGTTTGAGACCACGAAAGTTAACGGTTCTCACGGTGCCCCGCCCACCCTTTTTGATTTTTCGGCAAAACGGCAAAGCGATGGCCGATGCCACCACTTGGGCTTTGTAGCCCATCATCCCAGAAGAAAATCCCAACCAACATTGACCCCGTTGGTCCACCGTAGACAACAAATTGACGGAGGGAAGTTTTAGTCACCGCCGGCTTTGTGGGCAAAATTGACCATCTTCTATCCACTTTTGGACTTTATGGCAGGTATAAAAGTTGCTCTACTCATTGAGATCTTCATTTCTATGAAGTTTGAGAATTTTTGGAATTAGTAGGATTTTTCGGCGAGTCGGAGCGGCTAACCGCCACCCACGGCGGCGCGTGGCCAGTGGGCCACCAATGTTATTTTTAGATTATGTCAAATGTCTTGAATTTAGTTTTGATATTTGAATGACGTAGGTTGATCGTTGGAACCTAAATTCGTTATGATACGTTACTTGATAAAAATGTGAATCAACGATCCGACCGTTGGATCGTCACCAAATTTGGATACATTATAATACGTAATATTTAAAGACATTCGACATAGTCTAAAAATATCCTACGTCATTCAAATATCAAAACTAAATTCAAGACATTCGACATAGTCTAAAATATATTATGGCTGCATCTTTAATTTCCCAAAAGCCTTATTTGGGAAATTGAGTAATGCTAAGGAAATTGGTCAAGACAAGTTTTAGTTTTGTGAATTAGTTAGTTAAACTAATGTTAATTGGGCTTGTCACGGATAATTATCTCTGAAAACAAGTAGATTGGGAGTAGGGTGTTATTGATTGTACTTTTTACACCGTATTGTATGTAATTGGAAATGCTATGACATGGTTGAGTATTAGATTGCATCATGGTATATCCATATGTATATTACCTACACATAATTATTGTGAATGCTTTGAAGTGCAAAGGTGAACGCAGGACACCCAGGTAAGTTCAAGTGAGTTTATGGTATAAGTTGAATCGATATAGTTATAGCATGACTACAGTTATGTGTTAGGCAACTCCGACACTATTGTACTGGTTGCCCATGAGTTGTACATGTTATATTAAGATGATTGGTGAGATATGGATACCTGCACTCCGGTGTTAATGCTCTCGCCCATGGACAGGGCACAATCTTTCACATGATGTTCATCTCCCGCACCTTACGCTCACCTTAGACTTAAGGTAGGTGTACAGTCTTGTCGTACAGACCACTATAGGTGGTTCCGATTCGTAAGTGACCCGTGATTATTCGCACAGTCTTCACGTGATCGTAGCACTTGAGCATACTTATTTACACCCAGTCCTGTCGTACAGACCACTAGAGGTGGTTCCGACTCGTGTGCAGGGGTGATTGGTGAGATATGGATAAGTCGTACAGGTCACTATAGGTGACTCCTGACTTATATGCTAGCATTGATTGATGAGATATGAGTACAGTCGTACGGGTCACATTAGATGATTATGACTGATATATCATTTATATTGATCAAGTTCATTTGGCCTACTTGTTAATGCATGGTAGAGTTGATGGACATGGCATACCCGTGGTTTTGACCATTTTGAGCATGAGTGGATCTATATATATATATATATATATTCGTGTAGTACTGTCCTATAGAAAACAATAAGGGATTTATTGTGAGGAGTTATTACTATTAAAAAGGTAATAGTTTGGTTTTACTGCTTACTCACACTTTCTGTTTTGTACCCCTTCAGGTTTTAACTACTGAGTTCGTATCAACGAAGATATATGGCTAATCTTAGTATTGGTGGCTACTTTTAAGGGTTTGATTCTTATCCACAATACTGTACTTTACTTATGCTCTGACATCGCGTGTGAAATGGGTTCGCTCCCACTCATAGCGCACTCTAGTATTTAGACACTTTTGGGTTCAAATTTATTCACATTATACACTATCACATTTTATGGCTTTTTCATCTTCCAGGTGTCGACCAGCACATCTCGATTCTATGTCTAAGTGGACTTTCCAGGTCGGTGTGTGTCAATTTCAATTCTCATATTTTCTTTCCTCTTTCAAATACAAGAAATGAAGTATAGGCATGAAGAATGGGCCAAACAAATACAAGAAGAGATGGATGATAAGAATATGGAAAGGAACACTTCGAATTACACTCCAATGAATAAGGCCTATTTTGATAGGAAAAAAAAAGAAGAAATTATGAGCCGACGACAGTTGTTTACCTCTGACTATACTCCTACAATGGCGGATGATGAAGATGACGTTGATTATGGATATTAAATTTAAGTTGTTGTAGTTTTTAAATTTAAGTTAATGTTGTTTTCAAATTCATTTGTAGTTTTTAAATTTAATTTGTCGTTTTTAAAATTTAGTTGTAGTTTTTAAATTTAAGTTGTTGTTGTTGTTTTTAAATTTAAGTTGTTGTAGTTTTTAAATTTAAATAATAAATTATGTTTGGCCTTAGGTCCTCAGTTGGAGACGGTTTTTTGTGACACGGCTAAAACGAGCCCTTTGGCCCTTCGTTGGAGATGGAGGCAAATATAGGCCTGTATTGTTTATTAAAATATTAATATCTTGGAGGGCCAGAGGGCTAAAACGAGCCCTCTAGCCAGCCCTCGGTTGGAGATGGCCTTAAAGCCTCGTTTTGATTTATATTTTTATTGCATTATAAATAATAAAGTTTTGTCACTTAATAGTATGGTCTAGTGGTATTCCACTTTATTTGTAAGTGAGAGGTCTTATGTTCGATTCCCGCCAAAGGCGAATTTGAACCACATTATTATAACTTGCCCATTGTGAGGCTTAGCCCACCACCCCCCCTCCTCTTCGTGTAGATAATATTGCTTGATCCAAAAAAAAAAAAAGTTAATAGAATCAAACTATATTACAAAAAATTTGACTAAAAAAATGTTGATAATAATAATAAAGTTTTTTTTGTAATATAGTTTGATTCTTCAAGACTTTATCACTGATATTACAAGTTGTGGAAGACAACTAAATAAGTATAAATAAAAACATCATAATTGCGTCACATTTTTATCAACATTGTTGATCACATCTTTGGCAAAGTAGCTAGAGCCAATTAAAACGCGAGTAAATTTCAGCTCTATACAAAACGTGATAAAAATTGTCGATATTGTCATGTTTGTCATAAATTCATATTCTTTTCCAAGCTAATTTTAGTCATGTATGCAATAGGTGACACTGTCAAGATTGCTCAATTTCATCAATGACCTTTAGTCCAATTGCGGCGACGAGAGAATTATCGTGTTCACAACCAATCAAAAATACAAGCTCAACCTTGCAGTGGTGCGCCCTGGTCGCATGGACGTTCATGTTGACATGTCCTATTGTTACCCCATTTGGTTTTAGGCTTCTAGTTTCCAATTACCTTGGAATTAAGGAGCACATTTTGTTTAGTGAGATTGAGGAACAAATTGAAGCTCTTTAAGTAACTCTGGCGGAAATGCCTGAGCAGCTGATCAAGAGCGACGAGCTTGACGTTGCACTGCAAGGCCTGATTGAAATTTTCAAGGTGAAGAAAATGGAAAATAGGAAGTTGCTGAGGCTAAAGAGGAAACAAGAACTAGAGGATAAGGAAAAGGAAAGTAGGGTTTCTCAAGAAGCTAAGAGTGAGATTAAGGGCAAGAAAGCAGATAATGATGACGATATTAACAAGAAAGTAGACGATTAATTAATGATGAATGTTAGAATTATTTAATTGTATTAGTTGGAAATCTAACCCTTAATTAATTTCTGTGTGGTGTCACTTCCACCACACTGTTGAGTTCTTGTAAACTAAATATATAAGCTCATATGAGGCTTTATTTTAGTTTATGTTTGTATTATCATAAGGAGATTAATTTGTGCATGAAAATCAGCTCCAACACAGAGAGTATCAGTGTTAGCAAGAGCCCCAAGGAAAAGAACCTGAGAAAGGCGATAAATTGGTCGATTTCTATGAAGGAATTGAGTTCAAATTGTGTGATGTAAACCTGTATATGGTCCATTTATGCTTTGTCATTCCATATACAGTGGACCATATCATCAGATAAAACTCAATTTGGAGGAAGCTCATTGGCTTTTTACATCGAAAGGAACTTTCTCAGGAAGCTAAGAATGAGATTAAGGGCAAGAAAGCAGATAATGATGAAGATATTAACAGGACGGTAGATGATTAATTAGTGATGAATGTTAGTTTTATTTAATTGTATTAGTTGGAAATTAAACCCTTAATTAATTTTTTATTTTTGGAACAATTAATTAATTTCTTTGTGGTCTCGCTTCCAACACAGAGTTCTTGTAAACTAAATATATAAGCTCATATGAGGCTTTATTTTAGTTTATGTTTGTATTGTGATAAGGGACAAATAAGCATGATGTCTTACCATGATTGGATGAGCTAGCAAGCATGATATCAAACCATGATTGGATGAGCTACCCATATTATGTGTGTTTTTTTTGTCTTTCTCTGTGATTGTAAACTTTGTTGGAGTTCATAACTTTATATGGGGGGTTTTGATATCTACTTTTATATTTATTTAATCTAGTTATTAGACTAAACAAATAAAAGGAAAACTGAGGGACAAAATTAACAAAGTTTGTATAGGGTGTACATAAATTACTCACTTTTTTTTAATAAAAACCTCGTATATCCCATTAACTAAAGATTTTACTATACCACAAGGGTACATGCGCGCATTTTGCGCAACCTTGTCTACGAAGCTGCAGAGAATTATTTCTGCACGAAAATCAGCTCCAACGCTGCGAGTATTAGAGTTGGCAAGAGCCCCAAGGAAAAGAACTTGACAATCCGACCAGAGAAAGGCGAGAAGTAGGTCTATTTCTGCGGATTTGGATCCTCTCGCCAATGGAGAAGATCATCCTGATCAATCATCGTGAATCGTTGGATGATTATTATAACTTCAAAAAAAATTTATATTTATAATCGTTGAATAAAAATCTAATGGTCTATAATAATTGATATCAAATCCGATTTCTATAAAAGGGACTGACTCAAATAATGTGATATACACGGGTATATATTCCATTTATAAATGCTTGGTCATTCAGTATACAGTGGACCATCTCATCAAAGGAAACTCAACTACTTGGAGGAAACTCATTGGCTGTTTACGTATCGAACGGAACTTTCTCTGATACGACAAAAAAGACCGAATTCTTTGACTGGCACAAGTCATTCTTTTGACCAAAGACGGCAAAATAGACCCTAACATGGTCTGTGTCGTTCAAGTTACGCAAGCCATTACATCAGATTCAGAGTTTTCGAATCCAACGAGTCCCTGCCGTCGTCGTCAGCATTGTCATCACCATCCGTTTTCTGCATTGCTGTTTCCTGATCTTTAATTTGGTTACTTTCTTCCTCCTTTTTCCGCTGCCTCTCGGCCTTCTTACATCTGAGGAAACCGACAAGTCCTTCGAGCACCACATCAACGTCATCGCTCTTCATGAGCTCCTCAGCAACCTCTGCAGGGGTCACCTCCGCGCTCTCTATCAACCCTTCAATTTCCCCACAAAGCCTACGAGGGTTGTCGTCACTAATGCCAAGGTAGTTCGAGGCCAAGACCTTGAATCCACTTGCCGTGCAGTAAGACAAGTGAATGTGCACATCCATTCGTCCGGGACGCAACAATGCAGGGTCTAACCGATCCTTGTGGTTGGTAGTGAACACAATAATTCTCTCGTCACCGCAGCTCGACCACAAACCATCAATAAAGTTCAATAGGCCCGAAAGCGTCAATTTGGTTTTAGAAGCTTGCTGCTGCTCCTCCGATTCACGATTTTCGACATCAATGCTGGAATCAATGTCCTCAATTGTCAAAATCGAACGGTTTGTAGTAGACAACAATATCCTCTTCAATTCCGAGTCGCTGTAAATGCTAGAAAGCTCCAAATCATATATGTTAAAATGGAGATAATTTGCCATGGCCGCGATCAAGCTAGATTTTCCGGTGCCGGGAGGACCGTACAATAAGTAGCCTCTTTTCCAAGCCTTCCCCACCTTCTTATAGAACTCCCTCCGCCTCACAAACCTGTCCAAATCATTTTTAATCATTGTCTTAAGCTCGGGGTCCATCGCCATTGTTTCAAACGTAGCCGGGTGCTCCAGACTTATCGAACCCCAGTCCCCATTGTCATCATCATTGTAGTGCGAATATGAATTTCGTGTATAAATTTTCACAACTTTGTCTTGTTCTTTAATTGCATTGGCTCGATCAAGCATGTAAGGCAAGTAGGATAGGACGACTTTGTCCTTGTGCCTCTTGTGGAATATTAGCTCGAACTGACGCTTTTGATCACCACCAAAGTTATTGTTGGATTCAATGCAGACGTAACGCCATTTTAGAACAATGTTATCGAAGGTATCGATGACTTCTTGGCCTTTTTCGATGGCAAGGCTGATGATTTTCTGTCGAGGTGTTTTGCTGACCCGAAGACGTTCGTTTGAGGGACTGATCTTGGTTTGGAGGTAGACATCCGCGGCCTCATAGACTTCGTTTCTTGTCATGCCAGCGTTCTCGTCAATGACGAGAGTTAGGTCATGGGAAGCCGAGAGAGGGGTGAATAGACGAAGAAGGACAGATTCTATGTACGCCCGGACCCTGTCGGGTACAAGGTTCATGAGTTCGTTGGCCGCTGTGCGGACCAACATCATGAATGCAGCGAAGGAGGCATAGGCTGAGAACAAGGAGGACGCGTTTGTTGGCATTTCTTTGAGATTGAGAAATGAAAACATTGTGTTTTTTTCAAGATGTGCAGAAATATGAAGTAATGAGGCGTTTTAACTTCAATTTTTTTGCTTAGTTTCGAAGCAATTTAGACACGGTTTTCTACTTGCTTAGTCTGTTCTGATTATTCAGACGCGGTTTATATATATACTAGTCAATTATCTGTTATAAAAATATTATATCATTTTTTTAGTACATCGAGATTTTTATACTGGGATGTTGAGAGTTGTTACACATTGGTGATAGACAAGATTTGCTACGTGCTTATATAGTTTTAGGCTACTCCTTATATTGCTAATTGATTTTATAGTGGAATCTTAATTTCATCATGGTATCAGAGCGGGTTGTCCACTTGCATGCTTGAAAATCCGCCACAGATGCGGGAGTGTGTTGAGAGTTGTCCCACATAGGTGGGCAACAAGGTTTGCTATGTGCTTATATGGTCTTGGGCTACTTCCTATATTGTTAATTGATTTTATGGTGAAACTATAATTTCATCAGGGGATGGAGATTTTGATTAAGCCACACAATAGACAACCTAATTTAATATCAAAATTCGCAATCTAAGAGATTCGAACCTAAAATCTCTTACTCTTAAACTGAATGGCATCTTTTTTTTAAAATAACGAACACTTTTTTTTTTAAATGAAAAAAAAAATGTGCGTGGAAGAACGGGAGGGGTTGATGTGGGAGACCTGGCGTTAAAGAAAACCTTCGCAATTTTTTTATTTAATTTTTAAATGGATGTAGTATGTTTAAATGGCTGTGATGTGAGGTTTGTATGAATAAAAAAAGCAAAAAATTTGTGTTGTATGTAATCACAAAATTGCCCATGCTTTTTGTTTTTGTTCAATTTTGATGAGAGGTTTAGAATGGTAACTTCATGAAGTTTTGATTGACAAAGAAAATTCTATTAACATATAATTTAGAATAAAATTTTGGTTGATAAAGAGAGTTCTATTAACAGGTAGGCTAAAATGGTAATTTTATGAAGTTTTGGTTGACAAAGAGAATTTTATTAACATGTAGTTTAGATGTTAAAGAAGGGGTATGATATATGACACATGCTTTTGACATATATTTTGACACACGCTTTTGTGGCTCTCATTCCATAATTTTTTTCAAGGATCCAAACCGTCTATATTTCAATTCATTCACAGGTCATTCTTGTAAAAAAATTAGACAAATCTAGCTCTATTGAGACATTCCTTTGTAGTAAAAGAAAATGGAAAAATACAGTTCTACAAAGAAACACTAAATTTTGTCCAACAGTCATATATCTTCAAATTCGGGTATTTTTGGTAGACAAATATGATCTTTGAGAGATAGACCGTTAGATCATTGAAATGCATTATGAAGCAAACTTCATAAAAAAATATGTGCCAAAAATATGTATCTCAGAATCCTAACCCATTAAAGAAACGATAAACACAAACATACTATTTTTTTTATACACGCCCATGTTTAATCATGTTTATTTTTTCTATTCGTGTGAGGCTAAAAGAGCGTGTGATTATTTACTCCCTGTATATAGTAATGTGTATGAATCATGGGTAGAATATTTGAGCCTGATATGTTTCATGGTTGAAATGTGAATGGAATGAGTCCAGATCCTTGTTGGATCCTCTTTGTGAGGATTCCGAAGATCCGTGAATCTTATTCATTCATCGTATATTGTATGGTCAGAAATCATTTTAAATGTTTTTAATTTAAAAATAAATATAAACAGTACTTGATAAAAATTAACTACATGATGTATGATAAATGAACATAATTCACGAATCTTTGATACTCTCACCAAAAATATCTGGTAAAGATCCTGTTGGGAATGGAATGATGTGAATAAAGAAAGTGCTCGACTGACTTAGATTACTCTCTACTTGGTAAACTTTATCAGGAACTTCTCTCTTCCACGCCGAAAGTAGCAAGATGTGCCCCATAAGTCAAGTTTTAAGCAATATAATATGCATGTTATAGTCTTGATAAGTGGTTTGTGTTGTTTGTGGTTTTGTGGATGACGACACTAAAAAAAAAGAGACCACTCCAAGCTAATAAAGTTAAAAGTAAGAAAAAGTCCAAGCAAAACCCAATTTGTTCAAATGATGCATTTAGAAAGAGAACATTAACCTTTTGTTGTTCACTTGTGTGTTGTAGGATTTTTAATATTTTTTTTAAGTATTCAGTGATACGTTGTGTTCGACAAATATTTGAGCATTAAATTTAATCTATTGGTTTAAACTGAATAATTGAAGACCGTTAAATCAAGTTTTATATCTTTGAGAATATCATTTCGAGCCCTCTCTTGGAATGATTTGTGCCGGTATTAAGTAACTTTGGTTTAACATGTAATGCCTAAATTGTTTCCGATCAGAAAGCGTGGCCTTCATAGGACAATCTTTGCAGGCCCAGTTTAATGGTAATAATTTTAGTGATATATAGTTTGATTCTTTATAGAAAAACTCTTCTCTAGAGTGGATGGGTGACTTTAGGAAGATATGCATGACATCCTCATATATCCTATACCTCAAAATTCAAGCACGTAACCCTCAAAGATTGCAAACTCAAATTTTTTCCCCACCATAATGATGAAATTTTCTACGGTGCTCCAAAATATTTTATATCATGAATCGGTTGTTTTTAAACATTAATTTGTTTAACATAAGATACTCAAGAGCGTCAAAAACTTTTGCCGTAATAATTCATAACACCAAAAGATAAAAGTAGAAGCAAATCTTTGGCTCGCCAATTTCTTTCATTCCTACTTACTTTTCTTGTGAAAAGAGTGTAGTGAAATGGTTTTTAGACGTGGACCTATCATGCAATTAATTTTGATGAGAGGAACTTTGTGTATATACGTTGTATGGAAGAACTTTACATCAATTACTTGCGCTCGAAGCTTTTCGGAAACTGACCTTAGCTTTACCTTTTCTAGTGTTTGAATACAATAATTGAACTAGTGAAGAAACTGAAACGAGACGTAAAAAGGCAGATATTAAATTAGAATGGGATGGAAAGAAAGAAAGAAGAAACATGGGATGATGGGATGCTGGGGTCTATCTCTGTTTTGGAATCCACTCACGCACACGCACACATCCACAAATGTACATTTTTATTGACTACCCAAAATTCCAAACAAAGAAGAAACTTTTGTTATATTATATAGTCATTATTCACACACCTCTCCTCTACACAAAAACTTGAGAGAAAACACAAGCTTGTAACCATGAATTTGTTGTCCTCCAGAGAAATGCCTTCTCCGTCGTCGTTGTTCTCTGCCTACGCCTCCATGGCAGCGTCAATCATGCTCTTCCGGTCCATGGCGAACGAGCTCATTCCTCAACCAGTTAGGGGCTACCTTTTATCTACCATCAGATACATCTTCAAGACTCATTCTCCTAAACTCACCCTAGTCATAGAGGAATCGAGCGGAATGTCGCGCAACCAAGTCTACGAAGCTGCGGAGGTTTATTTGTGCACGAAAATCAGCTCCAACACTGAGAGGATCAGAGTTAGCAAGAGCCCCAAGGGGAAGAGCTTGACAATCCGACTCGAGAAAGGCGAGAAGTTGGTCGATTTCTATGAAGGGATTGAGCTCAAATGGAGGTTTCTTTGTACAGATTCCAAACAGAACAACCCTAATGATCCATGTCCTCCTCCGAGGTCCGAAAAGCGCTACTTTGAGCTAACATTCCACATGATGCACAAAGAAAAAATTTTGGGATGTTATTTGCCTTATATTCTTGAAAGGGCCGACGCAATGAAAGATGAAGAAAGGGTATTGAAGATGTATACATTGAATTCCAACTATCCTTACAATGGCATCAAATGGGAGTCCATCAATCTCGAACACCCTGCAACGTTCGAGACTCTGGCCATGGACCAAGAGCTCAAAAATGCGATTATTGATGATCTTAACAGGTTTGTGAAGAGGAAGGAGTTCTACAAGAAAGTAGGAAGGGCGTGGAAACGAGGGTATTTGTTGTATGGTCCTCCGGGCACTGGAAAATCGAGCTTGGTAGCAGCCATGGCTAATTATCTCAAGTTTGATGTCTATGACCTGCAGCTGGCTAACGTTCTTCGTGACTCGGACCTGAGAAAACTGCTGCTGGGCACAGCGAACAGGTCGATTCTTGTGATCGAGGACATTGACTGTACCGTTGATCTGCCCGATCGTCGACATACAGACGGAAAAAAGCAACATGATGTACAGGTTTGTCATCTTTTCCTTATATAAATTTGTTGAGTTTAATGCTTTGAACTGATCTTTGTGATTTGGCGGATCTTAATTAAGGGTTATATTAGTATCCGATTGGTTGTATTAGCATCTTACAACTAGCTCAGCAGCACTAAGCATTTCACAAAACCTTAAAGATAGATACTTTCACAAATAACCAACCCCACCTCACTGTCTTTCTGCACTGCTGTTTTGTTTTTTTATTCGAAGGGGGAAGCACTAGCACCCTCAGAGTTTGGTAGGAAGTCGCTTTCTTTCTATTTCCCTTCAAGATTGTTGTTTTCCCAATGGTTTAGAAAGAAAATCGCTTGTTTTTACTCCGAAAATTTTACACTGCACCGGTGGATGTATTAGAGCATCAGATGGTTAGATTCTAGTATGGCGTTGTACTAAAGTGGCGGAAAGTAATCATGTCTATGCACCCTAGTGCAGGTTCGATTCCCACTGATCCCCCTCCTTCTAGCAACTATCAATTTAATCCACTAGTTGTCCCCAAAATAAAAAAAAAACCCTATAAAAAACCCCTTTTTTCTCCAGCTTTAATTAACCCTGGAAAATGTTCTCAGTACAAAAGAATTTTAACTCTAACGTCTATGGCTTCCTGCAGTTAACACTATCTGGACTACTAAACTTCATAGATGGCTTATGGTCTAGCTGTGGGGATGAGAGGATCATAATCTTTACCACTAACCACAAGGACAGGCTAGACCCCGCCCTTCTGCGGCCGGGGCGCATGGACATGCACATTCACATGTCCTACTGCACATACCACGGATTCAAACTCTTGGCCTCGAACTACTTGGGCACCCATAACCACCATCACCTCTACGGAGAAATCCAAGACTTACTCAAGGAAACGGAGGTGACTCCAGCGCACGTTGCGGAAGAGCTGATGAAGAGTGAAGATGTTGATACTGCACTCGAAGGG